CAATATCCTTTAAGGTGCGGCGAGCGTGCAAATATACCATCAACAAGAAGAAGAACTCAACCACAACAACAACAAGAACCTAGTCAGAGGAACATAACATATGCAGCATGCAGTAGGGAATTCATGGAAGAAATTATTCAACATGACTTGTAAGACCCGAGGAATTAAATCATTAACCCGATATCAGAACAATTCACAGAAGTACTCAGAGTGGTAGCTGCCCTAGGGGCGGTCCCAGTTCCAGGAGGAGGACCGACTCAATAAGAGGCACCCAACCCACCTCAAGGGGAGTTAACTTCCAGCAAACAACGAAAGAAGAACAATTCACCTGCACAAGAAGTCCGATGATGTCTTATACTAAGAGAGCATCGGATTTGCCCTTGTGGAGGAGAGGAATCGACCAATGCCAACAGAGTCACTATGGCAGCCGAAAAATAACTTCTCACTACAAGTCTCGGGGGTTGAACCCCTGAAGAAGTTTAAAATGTCTGTCTTAGAGACATACAAAGGACGATCATATCCTAACGATCACCTCACGTCGTTTTAATCTTCCATATGCCTAGTAAAAGTATCTGACGCTCTCAATTGTAAACTATTCTTTACAATTTTGAGGTCATCTGCACAAAGATGGTTCATCGGGTTACCCGTGGGGTGATCACATGTTTCACATAATTCAGGAGGCTCCTTCTAGCTCAGTTTTTCAGCACTCTGATACCCAAAAAGAGCATTATGATCCTTATGACAACTGAAACAAGGAGTGGATGAGAGCTTGAGATCAATTATTGCAAGGTTCAGAGGGAAACATTGGATGTGAAAGACTTCAAGCTCAACATGGCCCAGGCCACACTAACCAAGGGGGTATGGTCAGAGAGGTTTTGCTTCGACCTTGACCTTGCGGAGCTGCAAAGTCTGGCCAAGTTGTTAGAGATTTCCAATAAGTACATAGCTGCCTATGAAAATGTCCCTGTACCTATAAGACAACAGAAGGTAACTAAGACAGAATGAACAACAAATCATCCACCCACGCCACGAAAACTACCTCAGTAACAACTCCACCTATCATCACGAGGACTAGAGGAGAAAGATAAAGGCCCAACACCACTAATTATCCCATTATCATGAGCAACTCTTGTACAACCACGTGGTTCCTCGGGTAGACCCATTGAGGGTGTCCATGGTAGAATTAGTGGGCGCCATTCAAGACAAAGAATTCTTCAGGAAAGCACCACTAATGAGAACTGAAGCCTTTCTCTAGGATAGTAGGAAATACTGTAAGTATCATAGGGATGATGGGGACAGACAAAATAATGGTGGCACATCCAAAGCCTTATCAAAGAGTTGATAAAAGAGGGAAAGCTGAAAGAATTCGTCGCCCTTAGAGTCCCGAACTAAAGACAAGGCAAAGCTCATGTGGGGGGAATAACCGACGGACCTGTTCGCACAAACACCATCCATATCGCAGGCTATGTGCCCACCATCTTTGGAGGGAGCGAACCACCTAGGAGAACAAGCTGAAAGAGGCAATAAAAATGGAAGCTCCGCGCCACGAACATCGTCTCAAAACCCAAGGGTCACACACCAATTTACTTTAGAAATGAGGACCTGACGTTGAAGGGAAATCCCTATAATGATGTTATTGTGATAACAATTATAATTAATAACTATCACATAGGTAGTGTTCTCATTAATACAGGGAGCTCAATAAATGTGCTATCCAAGTTGGTCTTCGACAAGCTAAGTTTCATCACCGATCAAATGACTATATCAGTCGGGCCATTGCACAACTTTTCTAGTGAAAGGAAAGAGGCGCTATGAGTGATCGGGCTCCCAGTAAGTTGGAGAGAAAATGAGAAGCAGCTTACGCTGACAGAGGATTTCCTCATGGTGGATTCCCCCCGATCTACAACACTATATTCGGGCGACCGCTCCTGAATGATTTCAGAGTTGTAGTCTCCACTTACCACATCATTGTAAGGTTTCCTAAAGACGGGGAAATCATCACATCATGATGACCTGGAATAGTCCCAAGTCTGGTACTTATGGGCCATTAACAATGTGGTGCACGATCTCCTCGACATTCAAAACTAAAGAGGAGGCATCCTCGAGACAAATGAGACTACCCTTGAGGTCCTGACTATCGAGGTAGAGCCAAGTAAATGTTTCCAAATTAGTGAAGCTTTTGTTGCAGGCCAGAGGAAGCTGCTGATCCAGAGCCTCTAGGAAAATCAAGACATCTTTGCATGGACGACAGCTGAAATGCCTGGTGTACCGATCGACACATCCTGTCACAAATTGAATGCAATCCATCAGCTCGACTCGTGAAGATGAAGACTAGAAGCTCAGCTATGATACTGGTCGGGCCCATACGGGAGGAGGTATGAAAGTTGGAGGAAGCTATATACATTCGAGAAGTAGAGTACCCCACATGGGTCTCTAACACAGTGACGATGCAAAAGGTTAATAAATGAAGGATGTGTGTGGACTTCACCAACCTAAATTTCACCTGCCTAAAAAAATTCCCACTCGCTTTCAAGAATTGACGCCCTTGTGAATTCAGAAGTTGGCCAATCAGTCTTAAGTTTCCTTAACTAATTCTTCAGGTATCATCAAATCAAAATGCACGATGCATATGCGGAGAAAACTTATTTTATTACATGTGAAGAGTCTATTGTTACAATGTATTGCTCTTCAAGCTTAAAAATACGAAGGCAACTTACCAACACCTCATGAATGTAATTTTTTCTAACAAAAAAGAAAATAACATTGAGGTGTACATCGATGATGTGTTAGTTAAGAGACTGTCGGTCGTGCAACATATTAAAGATCTAAAAGAAACTTTTCAATTACTCAAAAAATTTAAAATGAAATTAAGCCCATTGAAATGCATCTTTGGAGCTTCGATGGGCAAATTCCTAAGATGCTTGCTAACCTCCGAAGGCATAAAAGCTAATCCAAAGAAGATTCAAGCACTCCTTGACATGCCACCACCCGAAACACCAAGAAAATTTAGAAAATGGCCGACCGAATTGCAGGGTTAAGCAGGTTCATTTCCAAATTAGGGGACAAGTGCACCCCGTTCTTTAAGGACTGAGAAAAGCTAAGCGTTTCAGGGGACAACTGAATGAGAAGAAGCCTTAAAAAATCTCAAGCAGTTCCTCGCCTCCCCCTTCTTCTTCAAAGCCCGAAACCGAAGGAAAAACTTTACATTTATTTGGGGGTCAACCCCCAAGCCGTTAATTCAGTCCTAGCTAGAGAAGAACTTGAACAATAATACCCAGTATACTATACTGATCAGGTCCTAAAACATGTTGAACTCAGATATCCAATAATAGAGAAGTTGACTTTCGCCTTGGTCATTCAGCACGTAGGCTTCCACCTTATTTCCAAATACATCCCATAATGGTGATCACCAACCACCCTTTAAAGTCTATCCTCAATAGGCCAAAGGATTCCGGTGGACTGCTCAAGTGGCCGTTGAGCTCACAGAGCTTGACATCAATGAGTTTGATATCTCATTTCAACAAAAAAAAAAAAGAGATTTTTTTTGAAATGTCAAATATTTGTGATATATATACATATACATATATATATATATATAT